GGTGAGTATGCATGTGTCCCCAGGCGGCTAGGCAGTGCAGTTGTGCTGATCTTCAGCTCAGCTGCAACCTCTGGCCACCTGGGTTCAAGCATTCTTCTGCTTCAGTCTCCCAAGTGAGAGTAGCTGATGGATGTGCAGGTGTGTACGCACACACCAGGTTAATTTTTGTATTTTTAGTAGAGATGGGGGACTTTCACCATGTTGGCCAGGCTGGTCTCAAACTCCTCCTGACCTTAGGTGATCTGGCCATCTCAGCCTCCCAAAGTGCTGGGAGAAGTGCTCGGCTCACTCTGTTGCAGCCTGGCTGGCTGTGAGAATGACGCGAGTCACTGTGCCTGGTTGGCAGATTCTTTAAAAATGAAATGTCATGTCACTTACCATACAGCCCAACAATTGCACTCTTGGACATTTATCCCAAAGAAATGAAGGCATAGATTCACACAAAAAGTAGTACATGAAACTTCATGGCATCTATCTATCTATCTATCTATCTATCTATCTATCTATCTATCTATTCTTTATATATATAATTTATATGTATATATATTTTACATATGTATGTATATATTTTGGAGACAGGGTCTCACTCAGTCACCCAGGCTGCAGTGCAGTGATGTGATCACAGCTCACTGCAGCCTTGACCTCATAGGCCTCCTCTCACAGCTCCCAAGTACTAAGATCGGGCCGGGCGGTGGCTCAGCTGTCAAATCCCAGCACTTTGGAGGCCGAGAGGGCGGATCAGAGTCAGGAGATTGAATGAACCACATCCTGGGCTAAACACACTGAAACCCCGTCTCTCACTGAAAAATACAAACTAAAACTTAGCCCGGCGCAGGTGGGCGCCTGTAGTCCCAGCTAACTCCCCAGGGAGCCTGAGGCAGGAGAATGCGCTGAACCCAGGAGGCGGCGATTGCCAGTGAGCTGAGATCCGGGCCACTGCATCTCCAGCCTGGCAACGAGAGCGAACTCCGCTCAAACAAAAAACAACAAAAAAACAAACAAACAAAAAACCAAGTAGTAGGATATCACAGGCCGTGCCACCAAACCCAGCATAATTTTTTTTTTTTTTTTTTTTGGACGAGAAGGGTCTCTCTATGTTGTCCAGACTGGCCTTAAACTCCCTGGGTTCAAGAGATCCTCCTGTGCTTCAGCCTCCAAATGGCTAAGATTCAGGCATGAGCCACTGCATCCTGACCGCAGCTCTTACTCTTAATAGCTTTATGCTTTCATCTTTAAAACTGGAAACCAACCCAATATGTCCCCTTCCAGCCTGATGGTTTAAACAACTGTGGTACACCCATTACCGATGGCATGCTGCTCAGGAGCCAATCAAAGGAACAAACTATCGATACATGCAACAACCAGGATGGATCTCAAGAAATTATTGCGGAGTGAAAAAAGCCAATCATCAGAAAGTTAACGTATTGAAATGATTCCTTTCTCTCCCCTCTGCTCCCTTCCCTCCCCTCCACTCTTTCCCCCCACCCCTAACCTCTTCTTCCTTCCCTTTCCTTGGACGCAGTCTTGCTCTGTCACCCAGGCTGGAGTGCTACTGCGTGGGATCATCGGCTCACTGCAGACGCTGTCCCTCCACAGGATCAAGTGATCCTCCCACTTCAACGCTCTCCAGTACGGGACCTGCAGGCTGGTGCCAACCGCCTGGATAACTTTTGTGTGATTTTTTTTCTGTAGAGCAGGGCGTTTCATCATGTTGCCTCAGGCTACGTGTCAAACTCCTCGGGCTCAAGCGATGCTCCTGCTCGGCCCTCTCAACAGTGTTGGATTACAGCGCGTGGCCAATGTGCTGGCCAATTCCATTTCTCTAACATCCTTGACATGTCAAAATTATAGAGATGAAGAACAGAGGAATGGTTGTCAGGGCTTAGGGAGGGGAGAAGCGGGAGACCGGTATGCCTCTAGTGAACCTTGTGATGAACTGTTCTGTATTTTGACTATAGTGGTTGTCACATAAATATACCTGTGGTAAGGTTGCATAGAACTAAATATACACACACACACATACCCATGAGTGCATGTTAGAATGGTGAAATCTGAGTGAGTTCAATGGGTTGTACCAATGCCAGCTTTCTGATTGTGATATTGTACTGTAGTTACGCAAGATGTTACCACTAGGGGAAACCGGGTGGAAGGGATATGGGATCTCTCTGTATTGGTCCTTAAACTGCATGTAAATCTACAGTTATCTCAAAAATTAAAATGTAATCTAGGCCGGGTGTGGTGGCTTACACCTGTAATCTCGGCACTTTGGGAGGCAGAGGCAGGCGGAGAGCTTGAGCACGCAAGTTCAAGACCAGCCTGGGCAGTATGGTGAAACCCCACCTACAAAAAATACAAAAATTAGCCGGGCGTGGTGGCACCCGACTGAGGTCCCAGTTTCTTGGGAGGCTGAGGTGGGAGGATGGCTTGAGTCTGGGAGGTGGAGGTTGCAGTGAGCCAAGATCGTGCCACTGCACTCCAGCCTCGCGGTAGAGCCAGACCTTGTCTCAAAAAAAAAAAAAAAAAAAAATTAAACCATAATTTATACTACAACACAACTATTAAAATGACTTTTTTTTTTTTTTTTTTTTGAGACAGAGTCTCACTCTTATCACCCAGGCTGGGGTGCAGTGGTGTGATCTCAGCTCACTGCACCCTGTGCCTCCCAGGTTCAAGTGATTCTCCTGCTGGGATTACAGGCACATGGCCCCATGCCTGGCTAATTTTTGTATTTTTAGTAGAAACTGGGTTTCACCATATTGCCTGGGCTGGTCTTGAACTCCTGACCTCAGGTGACCCACCTGCCTCAGCCTCCCAAAGTGCTGGGATTATAGGCGTGAGTCAACACACCCAGCCATAAAATGACTTTTTAAAAAACTGACAATACCAATTGCTGGTGAGGATATGGAGCAACTAGAACTCTTGTACATTGCTAGTGTGAATATAAAAATAGTACAGCCACCTTGAATAACAACTTGCAGTTTTTTATACAGTTAAACATACACTTACCATACGACACAGCAATACCACTCTGACATATTTACACGAGTGAAATGAAAACTTATGTTTGCACCAAAACCTGCACATGAATACAGCCTGTATTTGCAAGTGCCCAGAACTGGAAGCAACTCACCTATCTTTCATCTGGGGAATGAATCAACAAACTATAGTATTCATAACATAATGTACCCGGCAATAAAAAAGAATGAGCTACTGATACACATATCAATATGAATGAATCTCAAATGAATATTAGTAAGTGAAGGAAGACAGACTCAAAGAGCTACTAAGTGTATATAGCAATTTCATGTATGATGTCCTGCAAAAGGTAAAACTCGAAGGACAAAGAATATGTAGAAATTGCCAGAGGTTAGGGTGGAGGGAAGTGTTCATTATAAAGGGGCCCAGGGGCTTTTTGGGGTGATGGAAGTGTTCTGTATATTGATTGTGGTGGTGATTACATGACTTTATGCATTTGCCAAAACCCATAGAACGGTATATGGAAAAAGTGACTTTTACTTTTTGTAAAAGATACCTTTACGTTTTTAAAAATTAAGAAAAAAATGAAGCCAGGCAAGGTGGCTCACGCCTGTAATCCCAGAACTTTGGGAGGCCAAGGTGGGCAGATCGCCTGAAGTCGGGAGTTCGAGACCAGCCTCGCCAACATGGCAAAACCCTGTCTCTACTAAAGACACAAAAAACTAGCCAGATGCAGTGGTACACACCTGCAATCCCCAGCTACTCCAGAGGCTGAGGCAGGAGACCCGCTTGAACCCAGCAGGCAGAGGTTGAGGTGAGAGGAGATCATGCCACTGCACCCCAGCCTAGGTCACAGAGTGAGACTCCATCTCAAAAAACAAAAAAATAAAAAGAAAGAAAGAAAGAAAGAAAACATGAGATCATATCTTACTGTAACTTCACATCAATTTGTGCAGAAAGATAGTGTGTCCAATTTAATTTTTAAAAATGCTCAAAGATAAAATGTACATTATTTTAGTTCTTTTTAATTTCATAGGTATTGATTGATTGATTGATTGAAACAGGGTCTTGCTCTGTTGCCCAGGCTGGAGTGCAGTGGAGTGATCATAGCTCACTGCAACTGCAACCTCCTGGGCTCAAGTCATCCTCCTGCCTCAGCTTCCCGAGTAGCTGGAACTACAGACACACGCCACTACCCCCAGCTAATCTTATTATTTTTTGTAGAGATGGGGTCTCTCTATGTTCCACAGGCTGGGCTGGAACTCCTGGGTTCAAGTCATCCTCCCACCGTGGCCTCCCAGAGAGTGCTGAGATTACAGGCATCAGCCACAGCACCCAGCCCTAGTTCTGTTTTTTAAAACATGCTCTAACAAAATCCTTAGGAGTTTTTTAAGCAGTGTAGGATTAAAAGGAACTATAGGTTTTTGAAACAGCATTGCTCTACATTAAGAAAATACATTTCTTTGAATGGAAAATAAATTATTTAAAATGGAAAATAAAATGACCAGAAGCAAGGAGGACAAGATGCTAGTGTTTATTGCTTTGAATTGAAAAACCCAAGGGTACTTTTCATATTACTCTGAGTACTTTTCCCTAGTACCACCCACCCCCCACAGGGCTGTCTTAGGGATTAATTTAGATACTATAGAGTGCTGAGCATAGCATCCAACCTACAGTAAAGCCCAAACCATTGGTTGGGCATGGTGGCTCATGCCTGTAATTCCAGCACTTTGGGAGGTCAAGGCAGGTGACTCACTTGAGGTCAGGAGTTCAAGACCAGCCTGGCCAACATGGTAAAACCCCATCTCTACTAAAAATACAAAAATTACTCGGGCATGGTGGCGTGCACCTGTAATCCCAGCTACTCGTGAGGCTGAGGCATGAGAATCACTTGAACCTGGGAGGCAGAGGTTGCAGTGGGCTGAGACCGAGTCTCTGCACTCCAGCCTGGGTAACAGAGCGAAACTCCATGTCAAATAAATAAATAAATAAATAAATAAATAAATAAATAAATACCCAAACTATCTCAGCTTCTCCCATCCCCCAAGTCCAGACCATCCCTTCTAAGCTGGTCTATGAGGTCTAGGAGGTCCTGATGGTCTCCCTTTCTCTTCCTAATCAGTCTGGGGGCTCCCTGAGAAATAGCCAGAGGAGCCCCATCACCCATTACCAGGACAGGGAGTGGCGCCTCAAAGGGCTGGGAGTGAATGGCTCCACCCAGGGCCTGGCTAACAGTGGGTGCCCAGGAATTATTCTTTCGAGCCATTGACTGAGTACACACAAGTGTGGCCCTGATAGTGAGGCTATCCTACCCAACCAGGAAGAGGCTTGGGCAAACGTGGGGCACTAAGAGAGGCAATTTCTTGGCCAAGGGACCCCCATCCTCTCCATTGCATACCCGATTTGATGGGGTGTTACAGGCCTCTCCAGGAGGGGCAGAGGTGCCCCTTTACCGGCAGCTTCCTCCCTCTCCCTCCAAGGGTGGATTCCCCTGGCCGCAGCCAGGCAATGGAATGTTGTGTGGTTGGTTGCCAGGCAACCAGAGCCTGCTGGTGGCTGCCTTCTGGGAGAGCTGAGCAGGCTTCCACACCACGCTCCACAGAACCCCCAGGGTCTCCTAGGCTTGTGCAAAACTCCAGCTGGTGGAAAGAAAGCTGGGGCAATTGCCAGAAGGATGGCGGTGCCCTGGGAGGAATATTTCCGACTGGCTTTGCAAGAGAAACTGTCTACGTGAGTGGGACATAGAGGCAGGGAGGGCCAGAAGGAGGGCGGAATGCGTGGGCTGGCCCATCCCTTCTTCCTCACCTCCTGCGTCCTGGCTTCTTTGGGCAGATCACAGTGGGGTTACTGTCCCCACTTCACAGAGGAGGAAACTGAGGCTCAGGGAGAAACCAAGACATCACTGTGGTCTCAGGGATCGTTCCTGATCCCCCACCCCTAGCTGACATCCGGCTGAGATTAAATCATTCAAACCAAGCTGGGAAGGAATTATTCTATGAAATCCTGCTCCCCAATCCACCCCCAAAACTGCATTTTCAGGAGGAACAGAGGAAGCTTGTTCTGTGCCTCCTTCGTGTTCAGCAGCATGGCCTCAAGTCCCAACCTCAGTATTAGCATCTGTAAAATAGGGAGGGGGATTTCCTCCCGGACCATGGCTGGGAAAACCTTGATGATTACACATTAGTCATTCCTTCTTCTCTCCCTTTCTCCCGAGGCGCTGGACTCCAGAACCCCACTGCCTCCTGGGCCTCTCCCTGCAGAGGTATCAGGCATTTTGGGCTTGGCCATAGCAGTGAGCTGGTCTCCCCACCTGACCTGCTCTCCTGCAGACTGCCCTGGCAGTAACATCCTTCCGGTTCCTGGGGTCACCTCTGACCCATTTCTCATCCCCCTCCCCACGCCATCAGTTCTGCTCTCACCTCCCGCCACTGCTACCCTGCTTGGAACCACACTATCTCTGGAATATCCCGTGGCACCACCACTGGTCTCTTGCAGCTGCCCACTGTCCTTGCTCCTCACAGCAGCCACAAGGACCCCTCCTCTGCCCAAAACCCCCCGCTCCACTCCCACTTCACTTAGAGTCAAGGCCAAAGTCTCCACTCACCATGGCCCACCGCAGTTGGATTCTCAGCCCCTCCCTGCTCCCAATTCCCATCTTTTCCCTCCTCACTCCCTCCTCTGCACCCACCCTAGCTGCACCCAGGTCCTAGAATCTGTTCCCTGGAGACGTCCACGTGGCTTGCTCCCTCTTCTCCTCCAGGTCTCTGCTCAGATGCCACCTCTTCCCTGTTGAAAGATTCCTTTAGTTGCTTAATTTTTCATCTCAGTGCCTACCATGTCCTGTCATTCTTTATTATTATTATTATTTATTAGCTTGATTTTCTGTGGCTCCCAGCAGAATGCCAGCTCATGAGGGAACAGGGATTTTTGTCTGTCCTGTTCACAGCTGCACCCCCAGTCCTACAAGGGTGCCTGGCCCAGAGTAGGTGCTCAGGACAATTTGTTCAATGAATGAAGAATTCATCCAGGTTGCAGTGGCTCACGCCTGTAATCCCAGCACTTTGGGATACCAAGGCAGGCGGATCACATGAGGTCAGGAGTTGGAGATCAGCCTGGCCAACAGGGTGAAACCTTGTCTCTACTAAAAATACAAAAATTAGCCAGGCATGGTGGCGTGCACCTGTAATCCCAGCTACTTGGGAGGCTGAGGCAGGAGAATTGCTTGAACCTGGAAGGCGAGAGGTTGTGGTGAGCCAAGCTCGTGCCACTGCACTCCAGCCTGAATGACAGAGCGAGACTCCATCTCAAAAAATATGTAATAATAATTCAACCAGATATGGTGGCTTATGCCTGTAATCCCAACATGTTGGGAGGCTGAGGCAGGAGGATTGCTTGAGTCCATGAGTTCAAGACCAGCCTGGGCAATAAAGCGAGACCTCATCTTTACAAAAAAAAAAAAAAAAGTTAGCCAGGTGTGGTGGCACACGCCTGCAGTCCCAGCTACTCAGGAGACAAGATGGGAGGATCGCTTAAGCCCAGAAGTGAGCTATGATTATACCACTGCACTCCAGCCTGGGTGACAAAGCAACACCCAAAAACAAGTCTCAAAAAAAAAAAAAAAAAATTAAACAGCCAGCAGGTGGCTAACGGGGCACTCCAGACACAGTGGTGAGATGAGGGGCCCTGAAACATGCTTCCTTCACCCCTACCTCCTACTTGAGCCTCTTCAGAAAGCTGCCAGAGCAGGCTGAGGATTACGTCCCACCAGTGCTGCGTCTCCTGGAGAAGAGGCAAGAGCTGGTAGATGCAGACCAGGCCCTGCAGGCCCAGAAGGAGGTGAGCCCTGACTACTGTAACGAGGTGGTGAGCCGGCGGATGGGAAGTGATGGAGCCAATTTATTAGTGACAAGGTCTGAGACAAGTGATTTTACCACTCCAAGCCTTGATTTCCTCATCTGTCAAATGGGGATCAAATGAGACCAGCTGTTGGTGCAAATACATTTGCGAGCATTGAGTATGTGCTGGGCACTGCATTAAGACCTGGAGGTCTTACAATGGTCCCTGCCCTTGTGGGGCTCACAGTCTGGAGAGGAAAACAAGTAAGTGTTCAGGTGGTGACTGCTACAGGGAAGAAGCACTGGGCAGGGGTTGTGGGACCCCAGAAGAAGTCCCTACCTCCCCATGGGGGTGGTCAAGGAGGGCTTTTTGGAGGAAGAAATGTCTTGGGGATTGCTGAGGGGCAAGTCGGCTTATCCAGCAAAGGCGAAAGGGATAAGGATGGAAAAACAGGCAGAGTAAAACCACACACAAAGACTGGCTGGAAGACAAGAACCACACACAGGTGGTTAAGCGGCCGGAAGACAGAGTATGGGAGGAGAGAGGGTAAGATGAGGCCTGAGGGAAGCACAGGGACACTGGCATTCGGGGGCTGGAGGAGGGTGTTTCGGCTTCATCCCTGGGTGATGGGAGCCACGGATGGGTTGAGCAGGGAGCAGCCACAGATTAGGGACAACAGGTGGAAGGGGTTAAGTGTGAACCTGAGAGCATGGGAGGACCCAGACCCCCAAACCCACACAGACAACCCACTCCTCACCCCCAGGTGTTCCGCACCAGAATGGCAGCTCTGAAACAGCGCTGGGAACAGCTGGAACAGAAGGAGCGGGAGCTAAAGGGGTCGTTCATCCGCTTTGACAAGTTTTTGCAGGTAGGTGGAGACTCCTGGCGGGGGACGGGGTCTATGGGTAGCAGCTCACACCCCCATAGGAGCCCGGCAGGTAACAAAAAGAAAAGAAGTGGTTTTCGTCATGCAAAAGGAAACGGCGGGAAACACACGCCGATGAAGGCAAAAAAAAAAAAAAAAAAAAAAGCGGGCAGGGGAATTGGGTGAAGAGCCAGTTTCTGAGCCAGGCCTGCTGGCTGCCCCTGGTTTTGCGTGCGAATGTCAGGGCAGGATGGAGGTGCCGAACTCCCCGCCGGCTCCCGATTCCTGAAAATCGCCTTCTCCCCACCTTACTCCCCAGGACTCCGAGGCCCGGCGCAATCGCGCGCTGCGGAGGGCGGCGGAGGAGCGACACCAGGCGAGCCTCCGGGAGGCGGAGGCGCTGCGTCTGCGGACCCAGCTCGAGGAGCTACGGCAGGAACGCGCGCGGCTGCAGCGCCGGCTTAAGCGCCTGGAGCCCTGCGCGCGCCTGCTGGAGCAAGCGCTGGAGCTGCTGCCCGGGGTGAGTCCCGGGAAGAAGGCTGGGAGCTCGGCGCCACCGCGCGGCGCTGAGTGGCTCAGGGACGGCTTCGGACCGGCGAACTACTGTAGCGCTGAACTACTGGAGTTCTTGGCGTGCATGCCAAGAACTATCGCTTATGGAGCGCTCACTGTATGCCAGGGATACGCTTTAGTTTTTGTGGTTGTTAGTTTTGGAGTATTTTTGAGACAGTGTCTCGCTTTGTCAGCAGGCTGGAGTGCATTGGCGCGATCACGGCTCACTGCAGCCTCGACTTCCTGGGCTCAAGGGATCCTCTTGCTTCTGCCTACCAAGTAGCTGGGACCACAGGCGCATGCCACCACGCCTGGCTATTTTTTTAATTATCATTTTTAGTAGAGACAGTGGTCTTGCGATGTTGCCCAGGCTGGTTTCGAACTCCTGGGCTCAAGCGATCCTCCCACCTCAGCTCCCAAAGTGCTGGGATTACAGGTGTGAGCCACCGCCCACATTTTGTTTTTGAATCCTCCCCAAAGTCCAGTGAAGTGAGTCCTGTTATTGTCAACTGTCAACCCCATTTTACAGCTAGGAAAACTGAAGATGAAGAAAGCTAACTCTGGCCAGGCGCAAGTGGCTCACGCCTGTAATCCCAACACTTTGGGAAGCCAAGGCGGGAGGATTGCTTGAAGCCAGGAGTTCGAGACCAGTCTGGGTAACATAGAGTGACCCCTGTCTCTACAAAAAATTAGCCGGGCGTGGTGGCGTGTGACTATAGTCCCAGCTACTCTGGAGCGGAGATGGGAGGATCGCTTGAGCCCAGGAGTTCGAGATGACAGTGAGCTATGATCGCGCCACTGCACTCCACCCCAGGTGACAGAGCGAGACCTTGTCTCTAACAAACGGAGGTTGACATTTAAGTCACTTTCCAGAAAGATTATTCCAATAATAAGGAACGCCGGCGGCCAGGTGGGATGGGGAGGGTAGGGGACTGCAGGCCCATGTGAGTCCCTTCCCCGCCCCCAACTCTAGTTCCAAGAGGTCCCGGAACTGGTGGCGCGCTTCGACGGCCTGGCCCAGACACAGGTGGCGCTGAGGCTCAGGGAGCGCGAGCGGCTAGCGGAGCTGGAGGCGGCGCGATCGCGACTGCAGCAGCTGCGGGACGCCTGGCCGGACGAGGTGCTCGCACAGGGCCAGAGGCGGGCGCAGCTGCAGGAGCGCCTGGAGGCTGCCAGGGAGCGTACGCTGCAGTGGGTACGGCCCGCCCTCCGTCGGGGGCGCTCGGGACCCCAGGCTTCCACAGCCGGGCGGGGAGGAGCGCCAGGGCTGATGAGGACAGATGGGGCAATGCGTACCCCGGAGGGTTCGCTGCAAAGGAGGGCATCTCAGGCATCACCGAGCCCTTTCGGGCATGAGGCCCCGCCCTATCCGCCGGCACGAGGCTCCTGCAACCCTCTCCCGAGAGCACCTGACTGCCTGACTGGCAGAAGTGGATGGGAAGAATGCCGGGCGCTGTGGCTCATGCCTGTAATCCCGACATTTTGGGAGGCCGAGAGGGGCGGATCACCTCAGGTCATGAGTTCGAGACCAGCCTGGCCAACATGGTAAAACCCTGTCTCTACTAAAAATACAAAAATTAGCCAGGTCCACTGGCAGGCGCCTGTAGTCCCAGCTACTCGGGAGGCTGAAGGAGGAGAATCGCTAGGTCCCAGGAGGCGGTGGTTGCAGTGAGCTGAGATCAGGCCACTGCACTCCAGCCTGGGCAACAAAGCTAGACTCCATCCCAAAAAGAAAAAAAAAAAAAAAATGTGGCTGTGAAGAGAGGGCAGCCTGCCTCGGGCCAGTTGCCATAATTGGGAGCAGGGTGGGTGTTCTCCAGGAATCCAAGTGGATTCAGATTCAGAACACAGCAGCGGAGAAGACTCTGCTCCTGGGACGCAGCAGGATGGCCGTGCTCAACCTGTTCCAGCTAGTGTGCCAGCATCAGAGGCAGCCGCCCACCCTGGACATTGAGGACACGGAGGGACAACTAGAGCAGGTGAGGACCCCTCTTTATGGCACCTCCAGCCCCCAAACACTCCCTCTTTGGAAAAATCAGGTACCTAAAACCCCACAGTTAGCAACACCTTCCCTGGGTTAAGCATGGCCCTCTAAGGTCAGAGCCCTTGCCCCAGCCGTGGCTCGATCACCACGCAGGCACCAGGTCTAGGATGGATTCCTGAGTGTGTCTTGGCTCTGACAGTGGCCAGAAGAAAGCCATGTCCCTCTCTGCGATGAAGCTAGACTATCTCAAAAAGAAAAAAAAAAAAAAAGTGGCTGGTCTCAATGCCCTCCCTCTACCAGGAAGGCCAGGGTTTGTGCTGAGTCCCTCTTTTCTCACAGGATCCAACAGCCCACACATGTGGCAACTGTAAAAAATCATGAGGTCCAGACTCACTCTTCATTAATCTCTGGCCCTCTGGATCCCTGCTTCCTGCACAGAGAGGCCTCAGCTTCCGCAGGGAAGGTGAGGGTGGGGTTAGGTTGAGTTGTGTAGCGTAGAATGTGACATAGGCTTTTTTTTTTTAGACAGAATCTAGCCCTGTGTCACCCAGGCTGGAGTGCAGTGACACGATCTCAGCTCACTGCAACCTCTGCCTCCTGGTGATTCTCCTGCCTCAGCCTCTCAAATAGTTGGGATTACAAGCACACACCACACCTGGCTAATTTTGTATTTTTAGTAGAGATGGGGTTTCACCATGTTGGCCAGGCTGGTCTCAAGCTCCCAACCTCAAGTTATCCTCCCACCTCAGCCTCCCAAAGTGCTAGGATTACAGGTGTGAGCCACCGCACTCAGCATGACATAGGTTTACAATGGAGGGAGATTTCAGACTTCAAACACTTTCTTGTTTCTAGTGGGTATACCCAAAGCGTGGCCCCTTTGAGAAGTGGAGGCGAAGTAAAGGGAGGCATCCCACCTTTTCCCCAACCCATTCCCATTCCTGTTCTGCCCAATGGCCAGGATTCCAACCGAACACCAAGACCTGGATCCTGGGAATCCGCTTCGCCCCTCCTAGTTGGTTGGATGCATCAATGCCACTGTTCTTCCCAGCCTGGCCTGTTACCTGGTTACCGTGTGGCACATGAGACTAGCAGAAACACAGGCTTGGTGTAAACAGGAAAAAGTCAGTCCCTTTTCTTTAAGTCCAAGTGGAGTAGTGGAAATTAAGAAGGAACAAAATCTGTAACCGGTTGTAATTAATTAGTTGTAAACAACACTGCACTAGGACCAGATCATCTCTTTTCAAAATCAACTCTGCCTGTCAAGGAGAAAGGCTCCATGGAGGGACACTATGCCTTTTCCCACCTCCCCTAACACTCCCTGGCCTCCGGGCCTGGGACTCCCACTGTCCTGCGGCTGCCACAATTCAGTAAGAGCTTCATTTATTCATTGCATTTTCATTATTTTTCCAGTTGCCCCCTAGTTAGGACAAGGGGTAACTATTTTTCTCCATTTTTGGTGGAGATAAAGTTTCCTTCTCAGTTGTTGATACAATGACGAATATGAGGGGAGCCCACAGATGGTTGTAAGTTCACCCTCAAGTCCTAGTTTTTACAATGGATCCATGGCATTTATTCATATTCATAAAGAAGTTAATTAAAACACAATAAAGGACGGCCACCCATGGAGATAAGAGTAGATCACAAACCAATGAATATGACTGATCCAGGTACAAGAAAATAAAGCTGATTGATATAAATGAAAATACTAATTGGATAGTACAGTTGACAGCAGCAAGGAAGCTGTGAAGGTGTCTGCTCACGCAGCAGTTGGGAAGGTTGGCCTGAGGCTTTTAAAACGCAGAACAGTTTAGGATCTCAGTCACCACCTCTGGGAACCACCATCACTGCTGTTCTTTTAATGAGGGGGTCTCCAGTCCCCACCCTGCCTTTTGGCCTCCCCGCGTGTTGAGGGATGGGGGCTGGACAGTGGCTCTGGGGCTGGGATGTGACTTCGCGTTGGGCTCCCCCCCAGGTGAAGCTGTTCATGCAGGACCTCTCTGCCATGCTGGCTGGCCTGGGTCAGCCTGAGCCTGCGGCCCCTGCCTCCTAGCCCTGACCCAGGTGAGTAGCGGGAGAGGGGATCCCCGAGAGACCCTGAGATAGGAGGGCCCCCATTTCCATTGGGGTGTGGACTGAGTGGCTCTTCCTGAATCCATTTCCTCATTGGGAAGATGGGAGGGCTGTGCCTGTTCAGAGTGCTGTGGGCCTGCCGTGAGGGGCACATAGCAAGCACTCAATAAGTGCATGCCCTGATGAGGAGGTGATGGGAAGGTCAAGGGGCTATGTGTGGGGCAACTGCCTCTAAAATGAGATCAGACCAGGCCCTCCCTGCCAGGGTGGCTGGGGCATGAAAAAAGCTCTTTGTCAGGTCTCAGAGCAGGGTCCATGCTAGATGAGAGATCACCGAGGCCCCTCCACTATGGACTCTGCCGGGTGAGGGGCCCAGCCTGAGAATTCAGCTGCTGGGGCCACCCTTGACCTTCTCAGAACCTCAAACAGGGGGTGGGTGGTGAGAAGACAGAGGGCAGGCCAGGTTCTGACCTCCAGGTGTGGAGGGGCCGAGTTAACCTCTTCATAGCCAGAGGGGAGCAGCTGTGCCCTTGCCCCGGGGCTGCACATCCTGTTCCCCTCCCACAGCCCTCTCCCAGCTGCAACCATGTCCCGGTAGGAGGAAGGCGGACCAACTCCCACCTCCGGCACCTGGCTTGTGCTCTGAGCCTCAATTTCCTCATCGCTAAATGGACACAGCAGCAGAACCTACCCTGGGGAGACCCAAAACTCCTCTGCCACATTAGCTGGGATTTTAGTACCTGGGTCTCTCCATTCCAACTCCCCAAGTAGACTGCACTCCTGGCCCACCAGCAGTGCTCAACAAAGATTTATTATATTAAAAATTCCATCGCCAAACCCTGAGGCACTCAGGTCTCTGACTGGTGCAGCCATGACCTCTGAACCCAGAACACATGGAAGCAGCAGCAGCTGAGTTGCCAACTCAGGTCTTGGCCTGCCTGGCTTTGCTGCCGAACTCCTACACACCCTTCAAGGCCCTGCTCAAATGTCTCTGTCTTAGGCTGACGCAGCTGCTGCCCTTCCGTGGCCATACAGTGCTCCTTTTCACGGACGATGGCTCCTGCAGGGAGTGCCCCCAGTGCCCAGCACTGGGCCAGGCACACAGTGGTGCACAGGAACGTCTGCCGATGCCCACCCTAAGGCCAATCAAGGAGCCACGAAGCTGGGTCCCGGTCCTCACATCCTCTTCCGCATCTTGCCCTTCTTGGAGCGGGCGACCCGGCCGAAGGCGGCCTGCTGCAGCTCCTGGACGCGGCGGCGGTTGCGGGCAGAGAGCTGCTTGAGGCCACCACGCTGCAGGAAGCGCAGCTTCTGGGCCCGGCGCCGCTGCTTCAGGATCTGCTGCTTGGTCTTGAGTTCCGGGCGGACGCAGCCTGCAGGGGTGCCTGGGGCGTGGGGCCGGGATGCACCTGCTGGGACAGGGATTCAGGGAGCTCAGCTGTTGGAATCACTCCCAAGATCCCCTCCTCCCAGAAGCTCGCAGACTCCTTCCCTGTCCCTACTCCTGTTCTGTGCTTATTGCTGTGGCCCAGTGTCTGTACACAGTAGGTGGCTAATAAAGTTTTAGGCAGCCTCATGGAGTGGTCAATAACACGGGGCCAGAACTGCTGGGGTTCAAATCCCAGCTGTGACCTCTTGGACCCTGGGCAAGTCAGTAAACGGCTCTGTGCCTCAGTTTCCCCATCTGTGAATTAGAAATCACAGCACCTCCTTCATGGGTGAAGAGAAAATGCATTTCCATGGTATGAAGTGCTCAGAACAAGGCCTGGCCCATAGTGAGAGCCTTTTAGGCATGACTGTTACTATTGAAAATTCTCCAACCAAGGAGTGTATGTTTCCACAGCACACCTACTGCTACTGCACGCTCTGAGGCCCCCCCATAGTAACCGAAACAGACCTCAGCCTCTGTCTCCATGGACACCATGCTCTAGGCTTGTTAGATGAAAAGAGGGTGTAGATGAACCTTCCTTTAGGTGGGAGAGGAATCAGAGAAGGCCAGAGAGGGAGAGGGACTTGTCTGAGGTCACACAGCAAAGCAGCAGCAGCAGAGGTCAGCGGCCCTGCCCTAGCCCGACAGGTGGGCATCAGGTAGTCCATTCTTCTAGTTCTCCGGGAGGCAAGCACCACCCTCCCTGGCTCCCACTAAGTCCTGTGTCCTCCTCCTCCTCCCCATTCATAACAGCAGCCTCCCCAGCGCTCCTAGAGGGATGACCATTGGGGTGTTCCCAGCTGTCTCCAGTGGAGCCAGGGTGCCTCGCAGGACCTATCACCTCCAATGAGGACAAAAAAGGAAGAACAGCTGCTTTCTCCCAAAGCCCATAGGTCGCCCCCATCTCCCCAGCCCCTGCCCGCCCACTGCACGGCACTGCTCACAGCAGAAGCTGCTGTTTCACCCAGGTAAAAACAGGCTGAGAAGTGAGGTGTGGGTGGTCCCCACCCAGCCACGCTGACAAGGAGACACTCCCACAGATGGGAGAGCTGGAGGGGGAGGAGCCACAGAGAACAGGCCCAGGCAAATGCATGCAGGCTCACAGAGACACCCAGAGAAGGCAGTGACCAGCCCCAGAAGGTGGAGGGACACAGCAGTGGGTAACGCCATCTGAGAGAGACCCAGGACATGGTCCCAAACTCCCCTCTCCCCAGGGAAGGCCCCAGGTGGGAGCCTTGGGCAGCTGAGTGACTCAGGTTCAGTCACAGCCCTCATAAGGCACCTGTTTCCCGGCCTGTAAAATGGGTATTCGCAGTCACCTTGCCTCCCAGGTCATGTGTGGCCCAGGACACAGCCTGCCCGCACCCAGCAAGTGGGAGCCCCTCCCTGACAGCAGCCCTTAAGCACAGGCTGTGGTAGACAGAGCCGGCTTCAAATCCACCTTAGCCTTTTACTGGCTGAGGGACCCAGGCCAGATCAAAGAGGTCGAAGTCCTCAAATGACCAAATGTACTATTTGCCAACCCACATTTCGAGGAAGTGTCTTCCTCAACATCCCCCGTGATCGCCTCCTCCCGGAACCAAAGCTGCTTCTGACTGCGTCTTTGGTGACATGAACTTCCCCAGAGCATTGCTAAAAAGAACGTCACTCCTGAGGATGCCACAGGGGTTCAATTCATGCCCACTCTGTCAGGTCGAACCACATGCAGATGCCATTTTTGCAGGTGAAAATGGCCCACATAGCAGCATTCCCACAAGGTTCCACCTCCCGAGTTCTCTAGGATTTTAGACAATAGGCTTAATTAGGTGAACAGGGCATCTACCAGAAGTCATCCCCGTGGCTTCATCTGTGAAGTGGACAGAGGTCGGGGACAAGGCACCTGAGGGGCACAGTGCTTCCCAGCGCCTGTCAGGTGATGCTCGTGACCATCAGAGACCGGGATAGTAGGAAGGGGGAACCTGTGGGTGTGGGGGTTGGGTGGGGGGATCATGGAGGGACCCAGGGTTTTGGCAGCATACCCCAACACACCGAGCTCTGGGGCTCTGCAGTAGCCTCTGCACCCGTGCCTCAGTGTTACCCTAATCTGACCATAACTGCTCCACCTACCTGTGCACCCATACTCCCCACCCTCCCTGGCTCTCACCTTGGCCACGGCCTCGCTTCCCACCTCTTCGCTCTGGGCCTCGCCGGTCAGATGCTCCTTCTTCGTCCGAGTCACGATCATCAATCTTCTGTTTCTGTTTCCACTTCTGATAGCTGGGAAACCTCGTTAAGGAAGCTGCGTGAAGCCCCTGGGACGGGAGAAGGCTCCTCCCCACACCGCCCCAGCAGACACAGTTCTGTTATCCCAGTCGCCGCTGAAGCTGCTCGGCCCCGCCCCCAGCACACTTACTGGAGATGCGGCTGCTGAAGCTGCTGGGCCCGCCCCCAGCACACAGGTCCCACTTACTGGAGATGCGGCTGCTGAAGCCGCTGGGCCCACCCCCAGCACAGGTCCCACTTATTGGAGATGCTGCTGCTGAAGCTGCTGGGCCCCGCCCCCAGCACAGGTCCCACTTATTGGAGATGCTGCTGCTGAAGCCGCTGGGCCCACCCCCAGCACAGGTCCCACTTATTGGAGATGCTGCTGCTGAAGCTGCTGGGCCCCGCCCCCAGCACAGGTCCCACTTATTGGAGATGCTGCTGCTGAAGCTGCTGGGCCCCGCCCCCAGCACAGGTCCCACTTATTGGAGATGCGGCTGCTGAAGCCGCTCAGCTCCGGCCCCTCATCCCCGGCCCCGCCCCCAGGTCCCACTTAATTGGAGCTGCTGCTGCTGAAGCTGCTCGGCCCCGCCCCTCCCCGGCCACGCCCCTCAGGATACAGGTCTCGCTTGTAGGAGCTGTTGATGTAGCGGCCACTCTCTGTCTTAATCTTCTTCTTGTCTTCCTGTCCTGACTTTCCCACAAACCGCTTCTTCTTACGGTCCCTGCAGGAGAGGGAGTTGGGACGGCTGCCGTGGAGGGAAACGCTTGGAGTGCCGGTTCCCGCTCAGGGCCTGTCTCCTCATCCGACCCTCTTGTTAGGTTGTTGGAGCATTAAAAGAAAGCAGTGCAGCCATGTCTGGCATGCAGTTGGCGCTCAATAAAGGTCAGAGGACTGCCGCCAGTACTGGGGCCTGGCTCAGGGACAAGGGCCTCCTGGAGGGTTTCCAATCCCCTCCCCCTTCCCAGCTGTGACCCTTGGCTGAGTCACATACATTCTCTAGACGCTAGAGTCCTCCTGAACAAATGGGTCCTGAGCCCTGTCTAGAAAGACTTGCCAGCAAAAAGGATAGACGCGGTCAAGATCTCTGTGGTGTGTGATCAAATCAAGGTGATAGAACAGCCAGGGGCCATCACACCTGCTGTGAGTGGTCACATGGGGGACAGCCAGGTCATAATCCAGGCTGTACAGGATCAGATGGGAGTGAGGACGTCAGGGAGTTCACCCTGCCTGCTGGCATGAGGGGCAGCTCACTCGCTCACTCACCCCAGGCATGGATGATGGAGGGGCAGCTCACTTGCTCACTCACCCCGGGCATGGAAGGGCGGCTCACTCGCTCACTCACCTGGGGCATGGATGGGTGGGTCACTCGCTCACTCACCTGGGGCATGGATGGGTGGGTCACTTGCTCACTCACCACTTGAGCTGCTGCCGGCCCCTCGTCAGGTTCTGGGCTTCGTCCCCCATCAGGTCCAGGACAGCGCCAGCCACCTGCTGCTCGAAGGCTCCCCCTTCCCCGCTGATGCTCAGGCTGCAGAGGGAAGGTGGGAGACATAACTGGATTGATGGGATCCAGCAGACCTGCCTGCCCCACCCAGGACCCAGCCAGCCACTCACCCCCGCTCGCTGTCGAAGTCCTTGGGCCGGTAGGGGATGTAGAATTCCTGGTCCCACTGCCAGGCCTCCTCCCTCCGCCTCTTGGCTCCCCTGTTGGGTCCTGACCGCTGCCGCTTCCGGCCCATGACCTCTGAGAAAATGTCCTGGCAGAGCACGGACCGAGGCCCAGCGTCATGCCTGTAGCCCCCTGGGGAGTTCCCACAGCCTCCCTACCCACCACCCTGGCCACAGGGGCCAGTGGCTTCCCGGGGACTTTCAAAGCTTCACTTTGCCATTTCTTAGCTGGGTGACTGTCTCCTGTGGGACCCTCAGTTTCCTCATCTGCACACACAGCGCAACCCCTGCCTCAGGGACCAGCAGAGGCAGGACAGCTAGGTAAGGCAGAGAGTGCCGGCCGGGAGAGACCCAACTCCCCATTCCAGCTCCGCGCTCCAGGCTGTGTAACAGCCGGCTCTGCCCCTCTCTGAGCCTGGCCTGCTCTGAACAACATGGACTAGGTCAGGGGTCTCCAACTGGTCTTCTAGGCTACTGAACCCTCTGTCTAAACAAAACATGAGAGAGGGACATCCTGGGGGACACGCAGGCCCAAGACCCACCTACCAGGTGAATGGGACACTTCATGGTCCTCCCTCTGAGTGAGACCCGCACGTCTCACTGCAGAAGCCCTGATGTGTTTGGTGGCTGGTGATGCCCTGGACCCCACTGAGGGTGTCATGTTGTACACAGCTTCTCAGGCTAAAGATCTGGCCCCAGTTTTAAACAAGGGACAGTGGACAAGAACCATACCCTGACTCCGCAGATGGGAAGCTGACAGCATCCATCTCCATCCACTGCTCAAAGCCCCTAGAACAGCTTCATGGGCTGCTGCGACTTAGCCACCCCTTCCCTGTACCCCAGGTCCAGGGTCCCCAGGGTGGAACCTGTACCTCCACACTCTCTCCCGCCTCCTCCTCCTCCTCCTCTTTCTCAGGCTGCTTCTCCTGCAGTGCTGGGCAGCTCGGGGCTGGGCCCACTGGGCCCTCCTGCTGCTCCTGCCTCCCCTGCTGTCCCTGCTGGAAGCGGGTGATGGCCTTGTGGTCCTTCTGCCGCTTGGCGCGCATCACCTGACTGCACAGGTCTCGGCTGGAGGCGTTGATCTCAAATATAGTCTGTGGAGGGGACACCCAGTCCTTTGCCCACCAGCCTCCTACCCCTAACCCCACCCTTAACACTTGGTGGGCTCCCTATTGGCATTCTTCCCCAAGTCTTCCCCAGTGTCCAAGGTGGGCACTCTCATTATCTGCACTTCACAATTAGATAGACCCAGGCCAGGCGCAGTGGCTCATGCCTGTAATCCCAGCACTTTGGGAGGCTGAAGCAGGAGGATCACTTGAGGTCAGGAGTTCGACACCAGCCTGGCCAACACGGTGAAACCCCATCTCTGCTAAAGATACAAATATTAGCCAGGTGTGGTGGTGGGCACCTGTAGTCCCAGCTACTGATGAGGCTGAGGCAGGAGAATCACTTGAATTCAGGGGGCAGAGGTTGCAGTGAGCCGAGATTGTACCACTGCACCCCAGCCTGGGTAACAGAGCGAGACTCTATCTCAAAAATAAAACAAAAACACAAAGAGAGACCCAGGCCAGGTACCATGGCTCACGCCTGTAATCTCAGCACTTTGGGAGGCTGAGGCAGGAGGATCACCTGAGCCTAGGAGTTTGAGACCAGTCTAGGCAACATGACATGACCTCATCTCTACAAAAAATAAAAAAATTAGCCATGTGTGGTGGCATGCACCTGTAGTCCCAGCTACTCAGGAGGCTGAGATAGGAGGATCACTTGAGCCCAGGAGGTCAAGGATGCAGTGAGCCATGATAGCACCACTGCACTCCAGCCTGGGTGACAAAGCAAGACCCTGTTTCAAAAACAAACAAAAACAAAAACCCAGAGAGGGTGAGTAACCAGCCCATGGTCACATGCTAGGAAAAACCATAGCTTGTTAACCCAAGTCCATTTGACTTCAAAACTGGCGCTCTTAACCATGACAGCTCCTCTCCTGATCCCAGCTGGCTGGCAAGCTTACTGACTCCCGAGTAGGTTTTTCCTTTTGTGCATCCCCTTCCATATGCACAAGATGGGGTGCCTAATGGGAGTCAACAGTTGGGAAGGAGGGAAGGAAGCTCAGGAAAACAAGCTCTTCAGGCCTCTAACAGACCGGGAGCATGTCACTTCCCCTCGTGAACCATCTGTTAAGTGCTAGGGAATGGCTGCCCCATGCCACCTGCTGTGGGCCAGCAGGGATGGTTCCAGAACAAGGGGCATCTCAAGAGAGGCTGTCAGAGCCAAGGCTGCAGGTTAAGAAGATATAAGCTCAGATGAAAATCCCTGCTGGGGTCCTGCTGGGGGTCAGGACTGCAATCTGAGTCATGGCACCACCATTGTCACTGTGTGACCCCAGGCCACGGGCCATCTGTCTCTGGCCTCCACTGAGCCAGGACTCAGAGCGTGGTCTCCGCCCGGCCCCACTCACCGCCCGGGAGCGGTAGTTCTTGATGCTGTCCACCAGCCTCAGCCGCTGCAGCTCCTCCTCCTCAAAACGCGAGCCTGGTGGGAAAGCAGTGAGGTGTCAGGCTGTGGGTGGGGTCAGCAAGACCCACCTGCCACCCCTACCCTGTAGAAGGACTCACTGAAGAGGGGGTGCAGGCCCAGCCCCACAAGGTCCAGCTCCTTGGCCCTCTTGATGGACTCGGGTGAGGGCGCTGGGCGCGAGCGCACATACTGCTGCTGGGCGTTGTCGGCTACGCGGGCCAGGCCCCGTAGCTCCAGCGATGCCTCCAGGGTGCTCTGCAGGCCACTGTCCTCCTCGTCCACCACACTCTGTGGCACCCGACCCAGCATGCCATCCACACCGGCCGCACCTGCACCCCACACAGCACCTTGTCAGGGGTCTTTCAGTCCAGCCCGCCTGTCTGCTGTCCGACCACCATTCCTGGGTCTCACTCTGGCTCCAGAATCACAGGTAAATGGCTACAAAATAATCACTGCAAAGAACACCAGCACTTACGGAGGAGCTAGAGAGCCAGACACTTGAATACACCGACAGGGGTCAACAAACCGCGGCCGGCCAGCCAGCTGCCTGCTGCTTCTGTAAATGGCTCTACGGGAGCACAGCTGCACTACTCGCTGATGCATGGTCTCTGGCTGTTTTTGCACTACAAGGCCAGGGTTGAAGAGCCACCCTGGATCACATGGCCCACAGAGTCTAGAATATGTACTATCTGGCTCTAAAAATAAAACTTGGTTGGCCGGGCACGGTGGCTCATGCTTATAATCTCAGAGTTCACGGAGGCGGAGGCAGGAGGATCACTTGAGGCCAGGAATTGGAGACCAGCCTGAGCAATGTAGTGACACTCCATGTCTACAAAAAAAATTTAAAATTAGCCGGGCATGGTGGTGTGCACCTGTAGTCTCTCAATTACTCATGGGGTGAGGCAGGAGGATCACTTGAGCCTGGGAGCCCAAGGCTGCAGTAAGCCATGATAGCGCCACTGTACTCCAGCCTGGGCGACAGAACAAGACTTTGTCTCTCTTAAAAACAAAAAACTAAAACAAAAAACAACCAACAGCAACTTTGCTGACTCCAGCATTAGAAATTCAATTTCCACAGCAACCCTGTTCTACAGATAAGAAAACTGAGGCTTAGTGTGGTTCAGTTGCTACCAGGACTGTCAAATGAGTCAGTTGCAGAGACAGGATTCAATCTAGGAAGAGTCCATGCTAGCAACAGCGATACTTACGGTAATAAGTAACAGCAACAGTAAGAGCAGAGGATGCCGGGGACAGAGGCTTCCTATGTGCAAGCACTGTGCTGAGTTCATCATCATCATCTCCTTTACCTCACACCAAAAATATGAGGAAAGTACCTGCTTTCTTTTGTCGTCACGTTCTGACTTTCTGCTACAGAACATCTACAACCGTAAGCCAGGCACGGCGGCTCACACCTGTAATCTCAGCACTTTGGAAGCCTCCAGCACAGATGGAGAATCACTTGAGTGCAGGAGTTCAAGACCCAGCTGGGCAACATAGTGAGACCCCCATCTCCACAAAAACTAAAAAATCATCCAGGCATGGTGGACCTGCCTGTATTCCCAGCTCCTCAAGAGGGTGAGGTAGGAGGACTGCCTGAGCCTAGGAGGTCAAGGGTGCAGTGAGCTGTGATCATGCCACTATACTCCAGCCTGGGTGACAGAGTGAGCCCCTCTCAAAAAAAAAAAAAAAAAAAAAAAAAGGCAAAACAATGAAAGAAAAACACAAAAAGCCGAGGGAAGAGTGTGATGGACCTCATGGGCCCATCACCCACTGTCAATTACCAACATTTGGCCAATCTTGCAAGAAAGGCCCTGATGAGTCCATTTTAGAGATGAGGAAACTGAGGCTCCTGGAGGTTTAGAGATTGGCCCAGGGGCACATGGTGAGGGTCAGGGTCGGAAACCAAACCCTGCACTGGGTCAGGAGCCTGCCCTCTTCCCATCTCTCCAGATTAAGCACGTGCTGGGCCCTGCTGACCCCCGGCTAGCTCTGGAGCAAAAGCAAGATGTCTCTCCCTAAAAGCTAACTGCACCGGGGGTGGTTTCTGCCTGGACATTGTGGGAGGCTCCTTCCCTCCCTCTGCCCCTCCCACACCCATGCACAGCTCTCAACCCAGAAGGTCGGAGATCTGTAAAGCCTGCACAGGGCTGCGTGCTGCCTCTAGCCCTGAGCAGGCCCTGGGTGCAGGGTCCATTTCCTTCTGCTCCTGCCTGTCACCGGGCCCCTGGGGCTGCTGGGTGGGGCTGTGCTCGCACCTCCCTCACTTGGCCCTTGCACTCTCGGCTTCGCCCCCAGGAAAATGCTTTGAAATGCCCCCTCCAATTCACCCCTGTGTGGCGCCCAACTGAGGCCTCCACCTCCAGTGACTGCACAGGCTGCCCCTGACCCCGGCCAGGCCCCACAGCCCTTTCCTGTGCCCTTGCATCTGACCCCAGACTCTCCACTGCAGTGTCTGCTTTCCAGCTGCCTCCAGGCATGGGCTGGGACACTGCAGGGCCACACGGTCACCTGCGGGGGCCACAGCCTGGACAGAGATCACCACTGGCTGCCAAGAGTGAACAGCCAAGGAGAAGGGGGCCCGGAGCTCTGAATCTTAGCTCCCTACCTTCCTGTGGTGTGCACGTGGGTAGGCCTGTCAGAGCCGTTCTCTCATCTGTGAAGCGGAGGTGACTGACAGCCCTCCCTCCAGCACAGATGGACAAATGAGGCAAGATGTGTACAGGGCCCGGGAACCAGCAGGACTGCAGGTGGAAGCCCATAGTTGGAGGCCCATAGATGGAGGCCATGGTGATTCCTGTTGTCTGTCCCATGCATTCCCACTGTAGGGTGTATACAGAAATGTCCTGTGGGTGGCCGGGCACAGTGGCTCACACCTGTAATCCCAGCACTTTGGGAGGCTGAGGCGGGCGGATCACCTGAGGTCAGGAGTTCGAGACCAGCCTGGCCAACATGGTAAAACCCTGTCTCTACTAAAAATACAATAAAAAATTAGCCAGGCATCTGTAGTCCCAGCTACTTGGGAGGCTGAGGCAAGAGAATGGCTTGAACCTGGGAAGCAGAGGTTGCAGTAAGCCAAGATCACACCACTGCACCCCAGCCTAGGCAACAGAGCGAGACTCCGTCTCAAAAAATATGAAATAAAAATAAAATAAAATAAAATAAAATAAGGAATCATCTTCTCCTGGGGTCAAACCCAGCCCCACCTCCTCCCACAGCCAAAACAGGGCCCATGAACTCTATGGAGACCCCTAACCCCACCCAGCCTCCACTCACCTGAGGGGTCCTCGAGGGGTCGGGCAAGGGCAAGGGAGCGGCCCAGGAACAGGTGCAGATCCAGCAGGTAGGGAATTTCGTCAGGGGCCACCAAGGAGTAGGCTGTGCCACTTCGGCCAGCCCGAGCCACACGGCCTGCAGCAAGGAGACGTTCAAGCTTAATTAAGCAAACTAAAAGAACCTGGACCCAGCATGAGTCCCACAGACCAGACCCTGAGCGGGTGAGCCTGGCCAGGCCTCGAACTCCCATAGCTGCTCTCCCCACCTATGCACAGGGAAGTTCAATCATGGTCTCTGGGTTGATCTGTGAGAGTGTGGCCAAGCTGACACGGTGCCCTGGGAGACTAGCAGAAATACAGCAAAGGCCTGCTCATGAGCATGATCAACTCTTCAGTGCCCCCACTTTTGAGAATTGCCCCCAAAGATGCAAACATTCACACACAAGGAGGTTTAGTATGGCCCTGACTAGGAGAGCCCCAAGTTTGGAACTAAAGGCTCAAGGATAGAGGACTGGTTAAGTGAATTAGCTGATGGCCACACAGTAGGGAATTAAACAGCTCAGAAAAAGAGTGGGCAAACTGCAGCCTACAGGGCCAGGCTAGTGGCACCCGCCTGTAATCACAGCACTTTGAGGGGCTAAGGCAGGAGAATCACTTGAGGCCAGGAGTTCAAGAACAACCTGGGCAAAATAGTAAGACCCCATGTCTACAAAAAATGAAAATTAGCCAAATGTGGTGGTGTGTGCCTGCAGCCCTAAGTACTTGGGAGGCTAAGCTGGGAGGATTGCTTGGATCTGGGAGTTCAAGCTTACTGTGAGCTATGACCATGCCACTGCACTAGAGCCCAAGCAACAGAGTAAGATCCTGGCCCCTTGCTTGTCTGTGTAAATAAAGATTTATTGGAACACAGCCACACTCATTTGTCTATGTAAATGAATAGGCAGCATTCACACTACACCAGCAGAGATGAACGGTTATGACAGAGACAGTATGGTCCACAAAGCCTAACGTTTCATGTCTAGCCCCTTATAGAAAAGATGTGCCAACCCATCACAGAATGACATTTCATAGTAAACAAAAAACATTCGCTATGTGTGGTGATGTAAAAAGAAAAAAACAAAAAGCAAGTTATAAAAAAGAGCACCCAATATGATTGCAATTTTGCATGAAATACATAAATCCCTACACAGCATTACATTCTGGCTTGTGTCTGTATCTTGGGAAAACAAGGTGTTATGACATTTGGAGATTTCATTTGAGGTTGTCCGACTGGCACTGTTGGTCTTGTGAGGCACAAGAAATTCCCTTTGGGGGGGTCCTGGGGACCTCTCTAGGGACATGCAGAACCAGCCCTCCACACAGCAACGAAAACTAGGGGACAGCAGACAGCAACAAGAGGGAAGTGTGCCCACCATATGACACTTATGAATTAAAAGAAGGCAAAGAAAGTAGAGTAACAGTTACCAGGGGCTATGGGAGGGGAATAAGGAGATTTTGTCTGATGGGTAGAGCTTCAGTTTTGCAAGATGAAAAAGTTCTGGGGCTGAGCATGGTGGCTCACACCTGTAATCCCAGCACTTTGGGAGGCTGAGGCAGGCGGATCACTTGAGGTGAGAAGTTCAAGACCACCCTGGCCAACATGGTGAAATCCCCGTCTCTACTAAAAACACAAAAACTTAGCCAGGCGTGGTGGCAAGCACCTGAAATCCCAACTACTTGGGAGGCTGATGCAAGAGAATAGCTGGAACCCAGGAGGTGAAGGTTGCAGTGAGCTGAGATCATGCCACTGCACTCCAGCCTGGGGGACAGAGCAAGACTCTATCTCAAAAAAAAAAAGGTTTTGGGGACAGATGGTGGTGATGGTTGCACAATGTGAACACACTCAATGCCACTCCACTGCACACTGGGAAATGGCAAAATGCTGAATTGTATGCTATGTCTACTTTACCACAACTTAAAATAGAAACATCAGAAGAATGGATGCACACCAAAATGACGGCCATGTCATCAAAGAGCAATGGGGAACAGCGATCTCTGAAATGAGACCACAGCTGCTCCATGACTTACAAAGGGCTGCATCTCAATAAACCCAACAGCCGTCAAAAACACACTCACTGCACCTAACCCACTAAACGTCACAGCTCAGCCAGCCTGCCTTGAACATGCTCCAAACACTTCCATTAGCCTACCCTTAGGCAAAATCATCCCACACATAGCCGATTTTAAAATAAAGTGTTGAATATCTCATGTAACTTATTGAATCTGTACTGAAAGAAAAAAATAGAATGGTTGTATGGGTGCTATTGTAAAGTCAAAAAAACCATAAGCTGAATAATTGGGTCTTTTTTCTGTTTTTTGAGACAAGATCTTGCTCCATTACCCAGGCTGCAGTGCAGTGGCACAATAGGGAGTTTGAGACCAGCTTGAGCAATACAGCAAGGCTCTGTCTCTAAAACAAGCCCACAGCCACCCCATATGCAGTGTCAGGAGTTAAGCCTTGTACCCTCGGCTTCTGCCAGGATCCAGCACCCCTGCCTGCCCCAGGGCCAGCCACGGGCCGCTTACCCACACGGTGCAGGAAGAGCTTGCCCTTGGCAGGGAAGCTATAGTTGATGACATTGTCCAGCAGCGGGATGTCCAGGCCCCGGGCGGCCAGGTCAGTCACAATGAGGGCGGAGCACTTGCCAAGCGTGAATTTGGCAAGGTTGATCTTGCGGGCTGTCGGGTCTAGGGCACTGTAGATGTGGGCGCAACTCACCCGCTGGGTCGTCAGCAGCTGCTCAGAGCAAAGATGGTAACAAAGTGAGAAGGAGACTTGGAGGAGAAAGGAAAGGAAGCCAGGCCATGGTGGGGGACGGGCACTGAGGTGCAGAGAGAAGACCACGGGTTCTGGAGTCTGGCACCCTTGGTCTGAATCCCAGCTTGCTGGGTGACGCCAGTTTGGGGAGGAATGGAGCTTACAACACCTCCCACCTCTCTGCAGGGCTGTCTGAGGATCAGAGATGATGTGTGCAGAGGGCCCTCATCAGAGATGATGTGTGCAGGGAAGCTGCAAATGCTACCTCAGTGCACAGGCCTTATCCTGATTCTGCTACAAACAAGCTGTGTGACCTTGGGCAAGTTACCAAACCTTTCTGTGCCTCATTTTCCTCATCTGTACGAATAACTGCCCCTTCTTTGTAGCCTTATTATGAGGATCACATGAGTCAGTATACACAGTGCTGAGAACAGAGTCTCAACATGGGACACTCATGATGGCGCTAGCTGTTCTTTACAGATTACTATTTCAACTGGGCGTGGTGGCTCACGCCTGTAATCCCAGCATTTCAGGAGACCAAGGCTGGAAAATCACTTAAGCCCAGAAGCTCAAGACTAGCCTGGGTAACACAGCAAGACACCATCTCTACAGAAAAGATAAAAATAAATCAATAAATAATGAGCTGGCATGGTCAGGCATGGCTCGTGCCTAGAGTCCCAGGTACTTGGGAGGCTGAGGTGGGTAGATCACTTGAGCCCAGAAGGCAGAGGCTGCAGTAAGCCATGATCATGCCACTACAGTCCAGCCTGGCCAAAGGAGCAAAACTCTTGTCTCTAAAAAAAACTATTTAAAAATTACTATTTCGGTCTTATTCGCTGGTGACCCCAGCAGCTGCACAGAGGGAGCCTTGTTAACTGTGTGTGGAGTGAGCGAAACCCAGTGAACCATGTCCTCAGATAACAGACCCAGGTGTAGCCGACGGGGAGGCAGGCACTGACAGAAAGGGGCCCCCCGCCTTCTGGGGCACAGCGACTCCCCAGGCTTTGACCCAGGCGAGGGTCACACAGGGATAACACATAGGAAAAAACTCTGAGCCACTCACACATGCTAACAGCACTTCACACAGCTTACTACATGCAGGTCATGCCTCAATCTTAAGAAGTCAAACAAACCAAACACTAAAAATCTACAGGAAAATGACAGGATGGCAGGGACAGGTTTCAAAATAACCCGGATGATAAGGGGAAATAACGGATGAAGGTCAAGACCAGCTATGAGCTGATAACAGTTGTACCTAGATAACGAGTACCTAGGAGTTCATCATATTATTTTCTGATCTTAGTATGTCTTTGAAATTTTCTCACAATAAAAAGTTTAGGCCAGGCGCTGTGGCTTACACCTGTAATCCCAGCACTTTGAGAGGCTGAGATGGGCAGATCACTTGAGGTCAGGAGTTCAAGACCCGCCTCGCCAACACAGCAAAACCCCATCTCTAAGAAAAATGCAAAAATTAGACAGGCATGGTGGTGCCTGAAGTCTCAGCTACTCAGGAGGATGAGGCAGGAGAATCACTCAAACCTGGGAGGTGGAGGTTGCAGTGAGCTGAGATTGTGCCACTGCACCCCACTCTGGGCGACAGAGTGAGATGCCATTTCCAAAGGAAAAAAAAAAAAAAGAAATGTTTTCATAGTAAAAAGTTTAGGCTGGGCACAATGGCTCACACCTATAATCCCAGTACTGTGGGAGGCCAAGGTGGGAGGATCACCTGAGCCCAGAAGTTCAAGACCAGCTCGGGCAACTGAGTGAGAACCTGTCTTTACAACATACAAAAATAAGTAACAAATTAGCTGGGCATGGTGACAAGCACCAGAAGTCCCAAGTACTTGGAAGGCTGAGGTGGGAGGAGTGTTTGAGCCTGGAAGGTCAAGGCTGCAGTGAGCCGCGATTATGCCACTGCACTCCAGCCTGGATGGCAGAGCGAGGTTCCGTCTCAAAAAATAAAAATAAAAATAAAAATAAAAATGACCGTCTTGAGCCCAGGCCCAGGTTCCTGGTCCACTCTCATGCTGCCCTCTAGTGACCGCACAGGGAACTGCAGCTCCAAACTCTAGCTGAAGGAGGTGACGGTCCCACTCAGGACTGGGCTCACCTCAGTGAGGTACTCGGCATGGTGCTTCGTGGCCACAAACACCACGGTCTGGTCCTGGGGTCGCACCACGTTGCGCAGCAGGTGGAGCAGCACGGCAGCCTTGGTGTCCTCCCGCACGAGGAAGAAGGAGGTCTGTGGGGAGAGGGCATCACGAGTTGGCTTTCGGGATCCTGGCCCAGAGCCTGCAGGGCCCACCTGGACACACCCTCCTGGGACAGGACAGGTGCAGCCTCACCTTCAGCTGCTCGTTGAGCTTGGTGTCCACGTCAAGCCGGATGAGAACAGGCTCTGTGAGGCCTGCAGGAGACGTGGGGGAGAGTGGGGGTGTCGCAGAGGGACTGGACCCCCAGGCCCCAGCCCCACCCCCAGCCCCCATCTCCACCCCCAGCTCACGCACCAGCGCGGGCAAATTCCACCAGCAGTTTGGGCAGCGTGGCGGAGAAGAGCACCGTCTGGTGGCCCCCGGGGAGGCGGGCGATGATCTCCTGCAGCTGCTCTGCGAAGCCCATTTCAAAAAGCCTGGAAGGGTAGAGGGCAAGACCGGGTCAGAGGGGGCCTCCGCTCCCTGGAGTTCCAACCTCAGCCATCCTTGTCCCCACAACCTCTGCGGTGTCCCAGGGCTCCTTTCTCTAACTCAGCCCACTCACACTTTATCGCGTGACTTCATCCTAAGCAACAATAACCTTGAAATCTGGAATCTGTCTCGGTTATGTTCTTACAAACTCATGCTGAAATAATCGACAGCAGCCCAGGCTGACTGCAGAGGGTCACGCCTGTAATCCCAGCACTTTGAGAGGCCAAGGTAGGAGGAGTTTGAGAACACCCTAGGCAAGACCCCATCTCTACAAAAAATAAAAAATTAGCTGGGGCCGGGCATGGTGGCTCACGCCTATAATCCCAGCACTCTGGGAGGCTGAAGCAGGTGGATCACCTGAGGTCAGGAGATCGAGACCATCCTGGCTAACATGGTGAAACCCCGTCCGTAATAAAAATACAAAAAAAAATTAGCCGGGCGTGGTGACAGGCGCCTGTAGTCCCAGCTACTCGGGAGGCTGAGGCAGGAGAATGGCATGAATCCGAGAGGCAGAGCCTGCAGTGAGCCGACATCGCACCACTAAACTCCAGCCTGGGTGACAGAGCGAGACTCCATCTCAAAAACAAAACAAAACAAAACAAAACAAAACAAAAAAACAATTAGCTGAGCGTGGTGGCGAATGCCTATACCCTCAGCTACTCAGGAGGCTAAGGTGGGTGGATCCCTTGAGCCTGGGAGGTCGAGGCTGCAGTGAGCCATCATTATACCAGACTGGGCGACAGAGCAAGACCCTGTCACCATCAATCAATCAATGATAGCAGTCCCTCCCCTCTTTCCCCACCTCCCCCTCCCCAACTCTGCCAGGGAGGGTTCTAAGTACTTTACAAGTATCAAGTCTTCGGGTCCTCACAGCACCCCTGGGAGGTACATGCTACTTTATCCCCATTTTGCAGTTGAAGCAGCCAAGGCCCAGAGATGCCCAGTGATTTGCCCAAATTCAGAGCTGAAGTCGCAGAGCTAGGACTGGATCCCACTCCTGTCTGGCTCCTGAGTCCATGCTCTCAACTTTGTGCTTTTAAAAAAATATCTTTGAAATCTCACGTTAGGGGCCGGGCACTGTGGTTCATGCCTGTAATCCCAGTACTTTGGGAGGCCGAGGCGGGTGGATCACCTGAGGTCAGGAGTTCGAGACCAGCCTGGCCAACATGGTTGAAACCCCATCTCTACTAAAAATACAAAATTAGCTGGGCATGGTGGCGTGTGCTTGTAACCCCAGCTACACAACAGGCTGAGGCAGGAGAATCACTTGAACCTGGGAGGCGGTGGTTGCAATGAGCCAAGATTGTGCCATTGCACTCTAGCCTGTGTGACAGAGCGAGACTCCATCTCAAAAATAAATGAATAAATAAATAAATCCCATGTTAGATATCCTACTATTTATTTCAATACTCCTGAAATGCAAAATTATAAATATTGGTCAGAGAGCCCCACAGACGAGCTCCAGCACCACTTATGAGGAGGTCTGCAGCCCACATCTGGGGAGACACTGCTTCGATCTTGGCCACACGGGTCTCTCCCGGCAGAGCTTTCCTCTGGTTGACCTCTCTGCCTGCGCTTTCCCAGTTCAGACACAAGTGCTCAGGGCTGACCTGCAGCCTTACCGGTCGGCTTCATCGAACACCACGTATTCCACACTCTGCAGCTTCAGGTTCATTTCCACAGCCACATGCACCAACCGTCCGGGCGTGGCAATAATTCTGGAAGAGGGTGCACAGGCCAGGTGACCCCAGGGCCAGGGCCACCACCATAGTTCTCTTACACCCCCACCACTGGGAAGGGACCTCAGGGAGTCATCCCCAATCCACAAACTCACATGTCGGGATTTTCGTGCAGGGCTGCAAACTGGTCTTCCATCCTAGAGAGGAGAGAAGGGTTTTAGCTTGATAGAACAGGTCTCCGGTTTCCCTTCCCATAACCAAACGTCCAGGTGAGGCTGCACACCCCAACCCCAGGAACACACACCCGAGGCTTGGAACTGAGGAAAGGCCAGTGCTGAGGTGAGGCAAAGGCATTGCCCTGACAAGAGATACAAGCTGAAATATTCAAAAGAACGGTTATAACAGAGTTCCCCCAAAGAGATGGGCTCAACTACAGACCTCAATTCACTCCTTCTGTTGGTCCAGATAGCAACAAAGCTGCCTTCTACCCACAGCGCCCCCAGCAACTAACCCTGGAACTACCAGCTCCAACTAGAACTCAGGTTCCCCGGATCTCTGTCAGCTCTCGTCCTTAAACCCTTTGGACACATATCCCTACTTTTAGTCCTCCTCTGAAGCACCCTTGGGATACCTGTAGGAGCCAGGGTAGCCCTGGGCCAGGACTAGCCCAGGGAGGCCTTTCTGACAATCACAAACTTTAGAAAGAATAAATGACAATGGAGACAAAAGCACTCAAAAGCAAACTCTCTGAGAATCAAGAGTGTTAACAGCAGCATCCTTAAACTTTCTCCCTTAAAGGGGCTGCTCTTTAAGGCAGAAACTGTGGGATGAGGCATGGAATGAGGCAGGAGACTGGATTCTGATCCCAGCTCCACTACGGAATCATTGCCTGGCTCTAACCTGTCACTTCCTCATTTTGCTCATCTGTAAAACAGGTGTGGCACCTACTACCTAGGAAGGGTGGTACCTGCACATCAGGCGATAATACAGCTTACGAATCTGAGCTATTATAAATACCCCTCAATTCCTGTGCTTTCTGCATCCAAACAGCCCACAGCCAGGCATGGTGGCTTATGCCTGTAATCCTAACACTTTGGGAGGCCAAAGCAGCAGATCGCTGGAGCCCAGGAATTCAAGACGAGCCTAAGCAACACGGCGAGACCTCATCTCTACAAAAAACACAAAAATTAGCTGGGCGTGGTGGTGCACACCTGTAGTGCCAGCTACTGGGGAGGCTGACGTGGGAGGATCACTTGAGCCCAGGAGGCTGAGGCTGCTGTGAGCTGTGAGTGCGCCACTGCACTCCAGCCAGGGTGACAGAGCGAGACCTTGTCTCAAAATAAACAAACAAAAAACAAAAACCAAGCCCACAATTAGGCATATTAAAGTAGATACACCTGTCTATCCTGTGAGCTGACGACTCTATTTCAGGAGCATCAGAACTTCTGAGTGGCAGTGCTTCTGTGGACAATTTATTTTAACATTTTATTGTAGGATTTCCTTTGTTGGTTTTTTTTCTTAAGCCAGTCAAATTTAGCAGTGAGGGGGTTGTACACCAACTTTAATGATACTAATGTTGGTAAGTTCTGATAACCTGCTACCACTGGACCAGCCTTGTTGGGTTTTTGTTTTGTTTTTTCTTTTTCTTTTGAGACAGAGTCTCGCTCCGTCACCCAGGTTGGAGTGCAGTAGTGCCATCTCGGCTCACTGCAACCTCTACCTCCCGGGTTCAAGTGATTCTCCTTTCTCAGCCTCCACTGTAGCTGGGATTACAGGCATGCGCCACCACGCCCAGCTAATTTTTGTATTTTTAGTATAGACAGGGTTCCACTATATTGGTCAGGCTGGTCTCGAACTCCTGACCTCAGAGGATCTGCCCGCCTCGGCCTCCCAGAGTGCTGGGATTACAGGCATTTCCCACTGGGCCCAGTCTTGTTGGTTTTTTTGAATGAGCACAGAAGTTGCCATTATTAATAAGCAACAGAGCTAAATCAAACTGATGTCCTGGAGACACAGAGATGTGCCTGCACGGTGGTGACCCTGGCGTGCGGTGCAGGGACCTTACCTGTCTCCACCCAGGATCAGGGCAGTCTTGAGGCCAGTGAACTTGCCTAGCTGAGAAGAGAAAGTGATTGAGAGAGGGCAGAAGTGAGATGACACACACTCGTGGCCTTTGTGCCTGGTCCCAAGTCAGCCCTCGCCTCCCACCTCTCCCCAAGCCCACACACACCTCCTTAGTGAACTTCAGGGTCTGCAGGGCCAGTTCTCGGGTGGGCGAGAGGATGAGGGCACGGGCCCCAGTCTGGGCACTGTGGGTCTTGAGCCGCTCGAACATGGGGAGGAGGAAGCAGGCCGTCTTGCCACTGCCCGTCCGGGCCATGGCCACCACGTCCTTGCCATCCAAGATCACTGGGATGGTCTGGAGAGGCACAAGCAGGGAAGGTCAGGGTCAGCTCCTCCCAGACACCACATGATCCAGAGCTTCAGGGTCCTGAGGAGTGGGCGTGCTACGGATCTCAGTGAATGGGCAGGCACCTGTCACCCAGCCTTAAGCCTATTCTTGCCCATTCTTTCAAAAGCCTGTTAGCACGCCTCTAAGGATAAGTGGCTCACTACCCCAACTCCTTCCATTGCTGGAACACCCTTCTTCAGGCGGAGCAGACTCTACCTCCTGTCCAGTCCTCCTCAGCACCCCAGAGAGATGGCTCTCAGAAGCATCTGAGAACAATAATCATAATCCCTGGATGATAATAGGTGGCTGCGAGTTGCCTGAGCTGAGGCTTAGTTGTGGGAAGCCTCTGGGAGGCTCAACTGGCAGAAAGGCCCAGAGTCTCTGCTCAGCTCGGCCCAACCTTCTCCACTGAGGACGTGGGCACGCTAGCTGGGGCTTCAGCAGAGTAAAGGGGGCAAGAGATATGACAGCTGGGACAAGGGGTGGCTGTCAAGGGGCCAGACAAGAGGGCCATGTCAATCCTCCCTGGCCCTCACCCGTCGACCGCCCCACCCCTCACCTTCCTCTGGATGGGCGTCGGCACCTTGTACCCCTTCTTCATGATGCCTTTGAACACCGGGTAGCTTAGGCCTGGGAGAGACATGGAACCGTCAGGGGGCCAAGGGAGTCCCCGCAGCACCAACCACAGAGAACTTTACAGGACAAATGACAGCTTCATCAACAATAAACAACAAGAAAAAAAGCAATAAAGCAGAAACTGAAAGGTGAAATGAGACTTAGGAGACAGATCTGACTGGGGCACTTGAACCTTATTTGCTTTTCTGATGTGAACCCACTCTTGATGTCATGAGACAGCAGGGATCTCTGAACGCTAATGGGGTCTTAGACGACACTGAGAAGCTGTGCCTTCGTTTTAGGTGTGGTAAGGTCCTGCGCCTCTCAGAAGTGTGTGCAGACACAATGAGGATGTCTGGAACAAACTTCAGAATCACCCAGGTGGTGGGGAGGGACAAGAGGGTGAGGGCATGGATGGGAGCTCGCTTTGTTGCTTAGGCTGGACTTGAACTCCTGGCCTCAAGTGATCCCACCTCTGCCTCCCCAAACGCTAAGATAACAGCATGAGCCACCGTACCCGGCACTCGTCTTGATAGTTGAATCCTTGCTCTAGCTGCTACTGATTTGTAAAGAGTAACAGTCAGGCTTTAATTCCGGCCAGCCAGGTGTCCCCACACCACCAACCTATTCCATCCTTTCCCTCCTTCTGAAATGCCCCTCTGCATGCAGTAAGTCCCCGACTGTCTTTGCCTGTTCCTGCATCTGCATCGCCTTTCCCGAGGCCTGTTCTAATTGCCCTCTCCTATGTCAGGCACACTGCCCCCCTAGAAGGACCTGAATGACTGGGAGACCAGATCTGCTACCCTAGTCTACCCAACCACAGTGCTGAGATCAGAGTGGACATCAGTGATGGAGTGCAGAGGCGGGGTCGATCCCCAGCTGCCGCTCCCGCAAAGTCCCCGATGCCAAACTTGCACCCACCCATGGACTGGAAGCCTCCAGATTTCTTCTTTTTCTTGTTCTGGGCACGCACCATCTCCCGGGTGTCTGGCTCCACATCTGAGGTGCATTCTGAGGTGGGGAAGGTGGGCAGGGGTCTGCCAGGTCCCAGCTGGGAGGGAAGAACAGAGAGGCAGTGTCATTTCAGGCACAGTGGGATCACAGGGGGCAGGGAAGGGGGCTATGCTGTTGCCCTCTCTCCCAGATTCAAGCCAATGATGCTTCCGCCAGATCACGTCACTTTTTTGCTAGTAAGTTCTCCTTTGGCTGGGCCAGGACAGGACAGAAGTCTGGAGCGGGGTCTGCAGATAGACTGTCTCAGTTTGAATCCCAATCCTGTCACTTACCAGCTGTGAGCCCTGAGGGAAGGGACTTAATCTCCCTGAGCCTGTGCTTCCACACCTGGAGAATGGGGACAACAAGCAGAGGCCTCCCAGGGTGCTGTGAAGATCATATATATGGGTGAGTGTCAAACTTAGAAAGGTGCTTAGAAACGTGGTGGTATTATCACTATCATCATCACCACCATCAAAGCCCTCAAAATTAAATACCTGGCTGGCGCAGTGGCTCACGCCTGTAATCCCAACACTGGGAGGTCAAGATGGGCAGATCACCTGAAGTCAGGAGTTCAAGACCAGCCAGGCCAACATGGTGAAACCCCGTCTACCAAAGTACAAAAATTAGACAGCCATGGTGGTATGTGCCTGTAATCCCAGCTACTCAGGAGGGTGACGTGGAAGGATCACTTGAACCCGGGAGGTAGAGTTTACAGTGAGCCGAGATCGCGCCACTGCACTCCAGCCTGGGCAACACAGCAAGACTCTGTGTCAAAATAATAATAATAAAAATAAAAATTAGCCAGGTATGGTCACTTGCACCTGTAGCCTGGGTGACAGAGAGAAACCCTGTCTCAAAAAAAAAAAAAAAAAGTAAACACACATTTTTTTTTTTAAGAGACAGGGTGTCACTCTGTCACCCAGGCTGGAGTACAGTGGTGCAGTAATGGCTCACTGCAGCCTTGAACTCCTAGGCTCAAGTGATTCTCCCACCTTAGACTTCTGAGTAGCTGGGACTACAGGCGTTATACTACCACACCTGGCTAATTTTTTAATTTTGTATTTTTTTTTTTTTTGGTAGAGATGAGGGCTTACTACATTGCCCAGGCTAGTCTTGAATTCCTGGCCTCAAGCATTCCTCCCTTCGTGGCCTCCCAAAGTGTTGGGATTACAGGCATGAACCACCACACCCAGCCCCTAAATACTTTAAAGAGCCAATCAAAATGCCTACTACGTGTGAAGTACGAGACTTTTCCAAGCTCTCCCGCCCCCTACCCCCACCCCACGAGCCGCCAACCAATCTCCTTTCTGATCTCTGGTCTGTCTCGTCCTGGTCTCCTTTCTGCTCACCCAGGACCCACTTCTCCTGGCACAGCTAAATCCAATACAGACACCTCCTCTGGGGAACCTTCTTGGATTCCAGGGCTGCCCCCTTTCTCTTAAAAATAGCATTTATGGCCAGGCGCGGTGGCTCACGCCTGTAATCCCAGCACTGGGAGGCTGAGGTGGGTGGATCATTTATTTGAGCCCAGGAGTTTCGAGACTAGCCTGGGCAACATGAAAAAACCCCATCTTTACCAAAAAATTTAAAAAACAAGCATTTAAGGAGCAGCAATTCATAAGAGTGGCTGAAACTTACAAGGCCATGTACTGTAAGCTAGGTGCTGCTCTGAGAATTCATACAAATTAATCCACTTAATCCTCACAACAATCTGAAGTGGGTACTATTGTTCTGTCCATTTTACAGAGAAGGAAACTGAGGCACAGAGATAAAGTGACGTGCCCAAGGTCACACAGCCAGCAGGTAGTGGGTGAGGGATGTGAACCCTGGCTTCAGAGACTGTGTTCTTTTCACTGTGACCCTCTAAGGTTGACTACAATCCTCTAGGGCAGAGCCATGGCCTGTCTTGAACGGTCTGCGAGTTTAGAACGGTTTTTACATTTTAAGGAGTTGCAGCAAAGGAAAAAGAAATCAAACAAAAAAGATAGTAATCTTATATGGCCCAATAAAACCTAAAAAAAAGATTTACCATCTGGCCCTTGATAGGTCGGTCAACCCCTGCTCTAAGCACATGAAAACAAGGTGCCTGGGACACATAGGCACCTGCAATAGCTACTGAACAGCATGTATGAACAGCATGTCCTTCGGTCTTTTTTTTTTTTTGAGACAGTCTCATTCAGTCACCCAGGCTGGAATGCAGTGGCAGGATCTTGGATCACTGCAGCCTCCACCTCCTAGGTTCAAGCAATTCTCCTGTCTCAGCCTCCCAACTAGCTGGGACTACAGGCACGTGGACTACAGGCACGTGCCACCAGGCCTGGTTAATTTTTGTATTTTTAGTAGAGACGGGGTTTCACTATGTTGGCCAGGCTGGTCTCAAACTCCTGACCTCAAGTGATCCGCTCACGTTGGCATCCCAAAGTGCTCAGATTACAGGCATGAGCCGCCACGCCCAGCCTCCTTTAGTCTTTTCAACTTTTTTTTTTTTTTTTTTTTGAGACAGAGTTTCACTCTGTTACCCAGGCTGGAGTGCAGTGGGGCAATCACAGCTCACCTAGCTCAGGTGATCCTCCTACCTCAGTCTCCCAAGTAGCTGGGAATACAGGCACACAGCACCATGCCCAGCTAATTTTTGTATTTTTTGTAGATGCAGAGTCTCACCATGTTGCCCAGGCTGGTCTTGAACTCCTGACATCAAGTGATCCTCACTCCTCCGACTCCCAAAGTGCTGGGATTACAGGCATGAGCCATGGCACCTGGCCAACAATCTTTGAAACATATATAATCATTTACTTGCCTTCTACAGATGTGGAAACAGTCACAGAGAAGTTAAGCAACCTCTCCAATGTCCCACAGCCAGTGCAAGGTTGGGCCAAATTTGAACACAGGGCGGTGCCGTGAGAAAGCCCTTGGTCTGAACTACACACAGACTCCTCTTCTTTGGTACTCACTACCTCTGCCCACCTGTGCTGTTCATTACCTTTAGTAGTTTCTCTACATTTGTTGAGCACCTACTGTGTGCCAGGAGCTGGCTAGGCTGGAAGGGGAGGGAGACAGTGGGATGAGGTCTCCTCCAGTTCCTGCCTTGGGGTTTGATCCTTTCTCTTCATATAAATGCCCACTTACTCATCTCCTTGCCCTGAGCCTACCTGGTGCCAGGCACCTGCTGGGAACAGGACTGTGGGAAATAATGGGCAAAACCCTTCTGCCCCGTTGGTGCTCACACCTGTTCCCTCATGTGCATACATGTAGCATTCAGTAATGGAAAGGGCACAGGCCTTGGAATCAGACAGTCCCAAGTTTGAATCTCCTGGCTCTTATACTCACAAACTGTAGGGTCTTGGTCAAGTTTCTTTCTTTCTTTTTTTTGTAAAGCTGGGATCTCCCTTTTTTTTTGTGTGTGTGTGTGTAGCCACTGCTCACTGTAGTCTCCGCTTCCCAGGTTCAAGTGATCCTCCCATGTCAGCCTCTGTAGGAGCTGGGACCACAGGCAGGCGCCACCACGCCAGGCTAATTTTTTTTTTTTTTTTTGAGACAGAGTCTTGCTCTGTCACCCAGGCTGGAGTGCAGTGGTGCGATATTGGCTCACTGCAACCTCTGCCTCCTAGTTTCAAGCGATTCTCCTGCCTCAGCCTCCCAAGTAGCTGGGATTACAGGCGCGTGCCACTACAACTGGCTATTTTTGTATTTTTAGTAGAGACAGGGTTCCACCATGTTGGCCAGGCTGGTCTTGCACTCCCCACCTCAAGTGATCCGCCCACCTCGGCCTCCTAAAGTGCTGGGATTACAGGCTTCAGCCACTGCGGCCATCCTCATTTTTTAATTTTTTGTAGAGTCGGGGGCCTCCCTATGTTGCCCAGGCTGATCTTGAACTCCCGACCTCAAGCAATCCTCCCACCTCAGCCTCCCTAAGTGCTGGGTTTACAGGCGTGTAGCCACTACACCAGGCCTTTGACTATTTCTTAACCCTCGAGGCCTCAATTTCCTCCTGTGGAAAAATGAAGATGACAGTTGCCGGTGGTGTTAGCACAGCGTTGGTGTGAGGATTACATAATAAGGCTCGTACAGCTCTTAGCATGGAGCCTGGCACATAGTAAATGGTCAACAAACACAAACTGGCCGGGCTCATGCTAATTTTTAAATTAACTTCCCAGAGGTTTGGGGGCGTCACTGTCTCAAGCCACGCAGTCCGGCCTCCCCTTAACTCAACCTCCCAAGAACGCTCCAAACTCTCAAAGTCAGATTTTCTGCACCGGCACTTTTCATTGGGCGAAAGGCAACCAGGATCCGCCCCATGTGCAGGAGGCAGCCAATGAGAGACGCGCGACCGAAACCCGGCAGGAAGGCCCCGCAGGCTCCAGCCGCGGGACCCTGAGCCTGACAAGCCCCGAGACACGTGCTCAGGCCGGCGGTCCCAAGACCGGTCCTCGGGCCGGCAGCCTCCCTCCTCACTCTCTGCGGAGCCCACTCCCCAGCTGGGGAAACTGAGGCCTCGGGGCGCTGCCGGGAGCCGGGTCTCGGGCCCCAAAGTGCGTCCCAGCCCCACGCGCCTACCTTCTGGGCCCGGGCGTCATCTTCCGCCTGGATCTCAAACTCGCCGTCCTCCGAGTCGCTGCCGCGGGCCTGGGAGGCCGTGCCTCGGCGCTTCCGGAACCCCTTCTTCTTCCTCCACTGGGCCATGGCAGCTCTCGACCGAGGGCCGGCCGCCGGGCGCCTGCCTGCCGCCATTCGGGCCTCGCGCTGGGAACGCAAAAGGGGGCGTGGCCTGCGGCGCGCACCAACTGCTTGGGGCGGGGAGGCGCGATGGCCATGTGACCTCGGCTGCGCTTTCGCCAGTGTCTGCGGCCCTGGGCGGCCTAGTACACCAGCCCCTGAGTGAGTGGCACCAGAGGCCCCTCGCCGTGTTTAGGTACCTCCTGGGCGTCAGGGGCGTGGCGCCCGCCCCTGGGCGGACTCCCCCCATCCCTTGGCGCGAATGGTCCGGGCCGCGTCCGCAGTGCTGCTGGCTGCTCCCTGTTTGCTGGGTACTAGGTGCTGGGTTCTGGTTTTCTGGATGCGCGCGCCGCTCACACGTCGCCTGTGCCAACTCCTCGGGTGAGTTGGTCCGCGCGTGGTGCCCCGGCACGGCCTGGGCTGCCGGCGGTCCGGGGCCCCGGGCATTCCGGGCTGCAGATTGACGCGGATCCCGGATGCACCGCGCTTCCCCGCGCCCTCGCCGGGGGGTCCAGATCTGGTGGGAAGACGACGCGGGGAGGGGTCCCTGAGGACCCCGATGACTACGAACCAAGATGCTTAGGTAGGAGAAAGCTCAAAAATGCAGGGACCTCGGGCATTTTTTAATCGGGTCATTGATTTGGGAGTCGCAGAATGTGGGGCAGTGGGGGCGGCGGTGATCTCCCGAGAGCAGTGTAGCCAAGTACACAAGCTCTGGACTCAGATTTCACTTCCACCGTTTTAGCTTTATAGGTGTGACCTACACATGTGACTTCATCTCAGTTTTGTGATCCGTAAAATGGACAAATTCGAAGCTACTTCACAGTGCTGTTGAGAGGATTAAATGAAACAATGCTTGTAAAGCTCTTTGCAGGAGGTAGGCATGGAATCCACGCTGGCTGTCATTGCCCCCGCACCCATCAGTACACACAGGATATAGGAATGTGCCTGTCTCCCCTACCACCATAGTGCGTTTTCTGGTTGGTGCCTAAATGGGCACAGGTGTCATCTCTCCTTCACCCCCAGAGTCATTCTATAAATAATTGCCAGTAGCACCCCTTTCTCCACCATTTTGACAACTAAAAAAAAAGCCAAAAAAATTTCCAAAATGCCCCCTGAAGTTGACAGCTCCCCTTTGAGATATTGGTTGAGAGAGAACTAAACCCTTGGGATGAGAACTTCAGAGACTACCAGTATTCCTCCATTAGCACTGCTGTGGCTCAGGGGTGCTACTCTGACCTCTCACAGGGAGCCTCGGAAACAGGGCCTGGCCGGCAGAGCACACCTGCTGTCACCAGGGACCACAGGCAGCATGAAGAACCCTGTGGGACTCGCCGTCAGTGGGATGCAGACCCTCCGCCTTCAGCACCGCTGCCGGGGTAGCTACCGGGTCCAGGCCAGAACGTCATATGTGGATGAGACTCTGTTTGGCAGCCCAGCAAGCACCCGGCCTACCCCACCAGACTTTGACCCGCCCTGGGTGGAGAAGGCTAACAGAACCAGAGACGTGGGCAAGGAGGCATCGAAGGCCTTAGGGGCAAAGGGGAGCTGTGAGACCACCCCCTCAAGGGGCAGCACCCCGACCCTCACTCCAAGGAAGAAGAACAAATACAGGTAATGGGGTAGGGAGGTACAAATCCTGTACTCAGTGCAGCCACCTGGATTCCAGTTACAGCCCTGATGTTCACCTACTCTGTGACCTTGGGCAAGCATCTTGACCTCTCTGAGCCACAGTTTACTCATGTGGAAAATAGGACCAATGATTCCTACCTAGGGGAATTGTTGATGGATTAAATGAGAGAGGGGTCTGCAGCACTTCGCACAGTAACCTAATACTTAGCTGTCAATAAATGGTAGTGTTGATGGTTGTGATGGTGGACTCCCTATCCCCAAATGTCACAAACTGGGCATCTGAGGCCCAGAGGAGTCAACTGATGCATAAGATCACAGAGAAATTTGCATAAGGTTATTAATATTAATATGATCGATCCTTGAAATGGCATAGATGTGGTGTTTCTGAAGTCATTCTGAAAATGGGTTTTGGCTCGGTGGGGTAGCTCATGCCTGTAATTCCAGCACTTTTAGAGGTTGAGGTGGGATCACTTGAGCTCAGGAGTTTGAGACCAGCCTGGGCAGTGTGGTGAAACTGTTGTCTTTACAAAAAATACAAAAATTTGCCAAGTGTAGTGGTGTGCGCCTGTACTCCCAGCTACCTGGGAGGCTGAGGTAGGAGGATCGCCTGAGCCCAGGAGGCAGAGATTGTAGTGAGCCCAGATCACGCCACTGTACTCCAGCCTGAGTGACAGAGTGAGACCCTGTCTCAAAAAAAAAACGAAAAAAAAAATTGAAAGTGGGTCTTGCTGCATTTTTATGAACAAGTTAGAAAAATAGGAACTAATGCAAATTGTCATTGTTGTTAATTAATTAGATTAGAATTAGATTATTTGGACTGTTTCAGATTAATATCAGCCTGGAGGGAGGTGTCTAGTGGTGAGCCACAGGACTCTGTCCTGTTTATTGTTTACAGTGGTTTGGACAAAGACACAGAAGATGGCCGGGCGTGGTGGTTCATGCCTGTAATCCCAGTACTTTGGGAGGCTAAGGTGGGCAGATCACGAGGTCAGCAGATCGAGACCATCCTGGCTAACACGGTGAAACCCTGTCTCTACTGAAAATGCAAAAAAATTAGCTGGGCATGGTGGCTGGCGCCTGTAGTCCCAGCTACTTGGGAGGCTGAGGCAGGAGAATGGCGTGAACCCGGGAGCTGGAGCTCACAGTGAGACTCCAGCCTGGGCGACAGAGCGAGACTCCATCTCAAAAAAAAAAAAAAAAGAAACAAGACAGAAGATTAGCACAGTAGTTGGCTAGGGCCACCATGACAAAATACCACAGACTGGGTGGCTTAAACAACACAAATTTTTTTTTTTTTTTTTGAGAAGAGTCTCGCTCTGTTGCCTAGGCTGGAGTGCAGTCGCACGGTCTTGGCTCACCGCAACCTCCACCTCCCGAGTTCAAGCAACTCTCCTGCCTCAGCCTCCCAAGACTACAGGCACACACCACCATGCCTGGCTAACTTTTTTTTTTTTTTGAGATGGAGTTTCGCTCTTGCTGCCCAGGCTGGAGTGCAATGGAGCTATCTCAGCTCACTGGAACCTCCGCCTCCCAGGTTCAAGCGATTCTCCTGCCTTACCCTCCCGAGTAGCTGGGATTATGCTGGCTATTTTTAGTAGAGATGGGGTTTCTCCATGTTGGTCAGTCTGGTCTTGAACTCCCTACCAGGTGATCCACCTGCCTCGGCCTTCCAAAGTGCTGGGATTACAGGTGTGAGCCACTGCGCCTGGCAATTTTTGCATTTTTAATAGAGATGGGGTTTCACTATGTTGGCCAGGCTGGTCTCAAACTCCTGACCTTGTGATCCGCCCGCCTTGGCCTCCCAAAGTGCCAAGATTACAGGCGTGAGCCACTGCACTTGGCCATAACACATATTTATTTTGTCACAGTCTGGAGGCTGGAAGCCCAAGATCAAGGTGTTGGCGGGTTTGGTTTCTCCGGAGGCCTCTCTCATTGGCTTGCAGTTGGCCACGTTCTCACAGCGTCATCATAGGGCCTTTTCTCATTTTTTTTTTTTTAATCCTTCAATTACATGCAAGGGCCTTTTCTGTATACACACACACCCCTGGTGTCTCTTCCTCTCATGAGGACACCAGTTCTATTGGATTAGGATCCCCCACCCTTATAACGTTATTTAGCCTTAGTTACCTTTTTTTTTTTTTTTTGAGACAGAGTCTGGCTCTGTTGCTCAGGCTGGAGTGCAGTGGCGCCATCTCGGATCACTGCAGCCTTTGCCTCCCAGGTTCAAGGAATTCTCCTGCCTCAGCCTCCTGAGTAGCTGGGATTACAGGTGCACACCACCATACCCGGCTAACTTTTGTATTTTTAGTAGAGACGGGGTTTCACCGTGTTGGCCAGGCTGGTCTCAAACTCCTGAGCTCAAGTGGTTCGCCCACCTCTTGCTTTCCAAAGTGCTGGGATTATAGGCGTGAGCCACCGCATCTGGCCAGCCTTAATTGCCTTTAATTAATCTGAATAAGGCCAAGTATAGAGACATTTGGGGTTAGGGCTTCAACATATGAATTTGGGTGGGCACAATTCAGTCCATAAGAACTGGCCAACTAAATTTAAGGTTCATTCTGAGCCACAAGGACATATTTCAGATGACAGAAATGAAATGAGAATGGGAATGATGCCTATTATAAAAACAAGAATCCGTTTTTGCCAGTTCTGTAGACAAGGCAGGGTCAGGTGGAGATCAGCAGCACTGATACCTACAACATGGCTGAAAACACTGAGAAAACACTGAGGTAAAGATAGGCTGCATTAACGGAAGTATGGTGTCCATGAAAAGGGAGGTGCCAACTCCCTGCTCACCTGGAGGATGGAATTTTCTTCTGGATGCCAACAGGTAGAGGGTGTCAAGTGAGGGGTTGCATAAGAGGTAGAGAAGTTACTGAGCAAAAACCTTGGTACCAGACATATGCAGGCATTAGCCAATGTGGTTTGAGCAGCTAAACCAAGTGGCAAAAGGTTGCCCTTTCAAAGACTTGCAGTTTGGGGATAGAAACACTTTCAGTCCTGGCCAAAAACTATGGGCATGGAATCTTGCAGGTATGCCATGAATATCTGTTGAATTAAAAAAAAAAAAAAAAATAGGCCAGGCAGGCTGACTCAGGCCTGTAGTCCCAGCACTTTGGGAGGCTGAGGTGGGAGGATCGCTTGAGCCCAGGAGTTTGAGACCACCCTGGGCAACATAGTGAGATCCCTGTCTTTACAAAAAATAAAAATATTAGCAGGGCATGGTGGCGCATACCTGTAGTCCCAGCTACTCTGGAGGCTGAAGTGGGAGGATTACTTGAGCTCAGGAGTTCGCGCCTGCAGTAAGCTATGATTGCACCACTGCACTCCAGCCTGGGTGACGGAGTGAGACTCTGTCTCTTAAAAAAAAGAAAAGAAAAGAAAAAAAAAGGCCAGGTGCGCAGTGACTCTTGACTGTAATCCC